AGAGAGAGAGAGAGAGAGAGAGAGAGAGAGAGAAAGAGAGAGAGAGAAAGAGAGAGAGAGAGACAGACAGACAGACAGACAGATAGACAGACAGACAGACAGAGAGAGGTTACCTCCATGCGAGAGAGTATGCGGGGAGTGGTGGGCATGCTGTGAGACAACTGCTCTTTACTCTTCACACAGTCTTTGCGCCACAGGGGGCTGTTGTAGGTCACCCAGGACCGAGGTGTGACCGGCGTGGTCTGTGGACACAGGGGTCAAAATATCAGGTCAGGGGTCAGGGGTCAAGGGTTAAAGCCTCTGTTCAGGGGCCAAGGAGTCATAATATCAGGTCAGAGGTCAAAACATCAGATCAGGGGTCAAAGCAGTCAAAACATCAGGTCAGGGGCCAAGGGGTCAAAACTCCAGGTCATGGGTTAAAGCATCAGGCAAGGGGTCAAAACATATTAATAAATAAATACCACTTTTTTGTCCCAGAGGGGCACTTTGTTTTACCATGGCAAATATACATACATAAATACATAATTATAAATACGTACATGCATAAATACATACATGCATAAATACCTACATAAATACACACTATTACACAAATACAGAACAGTCTACAGCAATGCCACCGTGCAGCGCCCTGTATTTTGAGCTAAGGTTGTTGTGTCTTGCTCAAGAACATACCCCTCTGACCACCCATCTGATCCCGACACTTGCTTGACATTGCTTGAGTTTAATCTCACTACTCACTTCGCCACATGGGTCAAAGCATCAGGTCAAAAGTCAAAGCTTCAGGTCAGGGGGTCAAAGCATCAGGCAAGGGGTCAAAATATCAAGTCAGAGGTCAAACCATATAAGGACAGGAGTCAAAGCTTCAGGTCAGGAGTCAAGACACCAGGTCAGGGGTCAAGGGATCAAATATCAAATCAGGAGTCAAAACATCAGGTTTAAGGGTCAAACATCAGGCCAGGGGTCAAAACATCAGGTTAACGGTCAAAACATAGGGTGAGGGGTCAAAACATTCAAAACATCAGGTCAGGGGTAAAAACATCAGGTCAGGGGTAAAAACATCAGGTTATGGGTTAAAACATAGGGTCAGGGGTCAAAACGTCAGGTTATGGGTCAAAACATAGGGTCAAGGGTCAAAACATAGGGTCAGGGGTCAAAGGTGAAATAGGATCATGACGTTAGACTATATATTTTGTGGAAAGTACGATAGATATAAACAAAAAGATGGTGGAGACTTAAGGATCTGAACTTTTATGACATTATAGAATATTAGCTGGGTACCCGTTCGATGAACGGACTAAAAAAAAATCGATCGTCAAGTCATTGTGGGAATAGTGCGCACTGCTTGTGAACGGATGACTTACTTGTTTACAATTATGTCTTAGAAGACGGGCTTTCCCAAGATTAGATCAAAACGAAACTAATGAAAAACTGAAAATTAAACTACAATGACGTCAGACTTCTTAATACAACTGTGCACCCTTTAAATGATTCTGAACCACCATTAATTTTTTTTCAAATTCAACAGTTAAGTGGTTCGGAAGTTTTAGGCGACCAAAGAGGCGAACTTTCGCAAAATAATACAAAGACCGATTATCATGTTTAACATTTCGCCGTTATGGGCTTCTGCAGGAGAGTGATTAAAAAAACCAAACTAGATTCTACTTGAATTATAATTTTGTTAGTGATCGGTTGTGTTGACTTTCACATCAAAGTACAGGGTGTTCCAAAAAACAAACTTGGACAACTTTTTTCTGAATGTCTCGCACAAAAATTGACGTAGAATACTGTAATTTGGAACAGACATAATTCATTCAAAAGGAATTTATTTGACACAAATCCACGAAAAAGAAACTAATTTTGAAAACTGAAATAGCGTAACTGATTCCGTCCATTCGGCCGCTGACAGCGGTTCTGAGTTTTTTCACTGCGTCCATTCGGCCGCTGTGAGCGGCTCAACGAAATCCGAAACAAAGGTGCACTTTTTAACATAGTTCCTACTTTTTAAGTTGTCGAAAGGAAGTAGAACTTGTATACAAACCTGACCTCAATCTCTGAGCGCCAATATCGATCGAAACTCCGCGAAATGCTTGCAAAAATCGTTGTTTTGTTGTTGCGATGTAGGCTAGGTCTAAGGGTAAACAACACGGAGCCTGGTATAATAAAAGGGCTCTTCAAAGAAAGATATTCAACTAAATTTGTGAAATTCTTGCATAAATATGTGCCAGGGTGATATTGCTACAATGTTGTGTTGATTCCTATGGATTATAAGGACTTGTAGAGCTGAGAAAATGCGGTAAGTCGAAATTTTCGAAGGGCTGTTGCGCAATTTTTTTCCCTCATTAGTTTTTGTCAGAAGGAAAATGTAATACAAACAGATTATAGGTCATTGTTATTGATATAAACAGATTTTTCTATTTATTCCCATCAGTTTGGTATATGACAATACCTATTAGAGTGACTTAGAGCTTCACAGTAATGCATTAATGATTAAATAGATGCACCCCAGGTCTAAAACTGAGCAGGGAAAAATAACTCTGTCCAGAGCCTGAAAAAATCATGGACGGAATCAGTTAAAGAAAGAAGCACCCTAAAACGCTAAGTTCACCAATTTTTTAAAATCTTGTAAAGGAAGTGGTGAAAAGATTTTTTGATCCTTTTCTTTATTTTCTCTTTAAATTTTGATTTTCCATCCCTGTGATACTTAAACAATATTCAATTTCTTTTACAGAGTTAAAAAGAAAATAACCCAACGATTTCATTCTGGAATTCCCTGTAGCAGTGCTCTACTATACGTGCCCTCTTTTGGACTCAACACTTTTTTTCGTGTCGTTCGAAATGTTCAATGGCGCGCAAACACAAGGATCTGCTAAACAATGAGTGTTTAAAGCCACATACACTATATATTCAGTATGAAGTGGCTTCTAGAGACAATAGGGAGTGGGGCGCCCAACAGACAACATTTTTGGAGTTAACATATCCAGCAGGGTGAAAATGGGCTGTGCACTAAACCAAATGTCATTGAGGAAATTATCCCACTTTTCAAGACATTCGAGGTATCATGAAAACATTGCCATGCTCTGATCCATGTCATCTCGGCCTCGTGAAGATGAAAATGGTACAGTCCTAGATCTAGGTTAAGATCTGTCAAGAGAATGCAGACCGTTGAGGTGTAGGAAAGTCCTTGCTACAGATTGTCTACGAACAGACGTCTCAAGGGACTTGACTACTGAAATCTGCACCGTGGTGACGTTTAGGGGACTGTGCTCGGTGCGTGTTCAATCTGAAGGGGTTATATTTTAGGACATTTTTAAAGTTTTGATTCCCTATAAATCCAAACTGTCGGAACTTATCTGCTCATGACGCCAAAGGTCTTGAGGGCACCTAAGCATTCTCTCCATGCCGTGTGCAGAACTTACGAAATGTCAGGGATGGTGAGTTTGTTGAGAGGTAATGTTCAATACAAAAGGCTCTCGGCTCTTTACTAAACGTAGCCAAGATCTCAGCAGGCAAAGGAAAATTTGGGTAAAATAACATCTGCAGACTTCGGTTGACTTGTTAGACTGCTGTAGCTTGCAATATCGCGCAATTGTTGCAACTTTTAGTGGCAGCCTGATGCGAACTGATGCATCATGCTATGAAAATGGTGACACGGTTGAAAATGGGTTTTTTTTTAAAAAATGGGCCATATAGAGCAAAGCCATTCAACGGGCTTATCTAAAATGAATATTAGACAAATTCCTTTTGGCGTCCAAATGTAATGTCCAAATCTGAAACGCAAAACTGCTGTATCGAGGAAGATATTTACAAAACAAGTTGTACAGGTTCTTTTTGATCACCCTGTACCCTCTCTCTCTCTCTCTCTCTCTCTCTCTCTC